GGGGTGGGGCGGGGGGGGGCAGCCATTTGGGGGGGCTGCAGCAGCTGGTTGGGGATGGGGCCAGGTGGGGCAGCAATCGGGGGGCTGGGGTGGGGCATGTGGGCCTTGCAGGGGGGTGGTAGCCCCTGTGGGGGCCATTTGGCTCCCGTTGGGCCAAATTCCTTGTGTGGGGGCCAAACCCTTTGTGTGGGGGCTGAACCCCCTTCTGGAGGGACGAACCCTTTGTGTGGGGGGCGAACCCCTTGTTGGGGAGGCATAGTCCTTGTGTGGGGACTAAACCCTTTTTTGGGGGGCTGAACTCCTTGTGTGGGGGTGAAACCTCTTGTGTAGGGGCTGAATCCCCTGTTGGGGGGCCGAACCCCTTGTGTGGGGGCCATCGCCCTGTGGGAGGGCAGCAAAATATGTATTCATGAAACCTGTATTTAGCGAACGCTTTATTATTATAATAAGGGACTCCGAGACTGCTGCAGTGGGTAGAGGGGGCAGGGAACTCTCAGGGCTGCTTCAGCAGTCCAGCTGGCACAAGGGGTAGTGTCCCCAGGTACCAATTGGCCGGGCCCCAGAAGCTCCTGAGAGCGAGTAGTCTTGAGCTACTTGCCAGGGTGGCTTTTTATACTGCTGGGGACAGCACAGGTGCTGTCTCCAGGCTCAAGCTCCCCCTGGCTGAAGATCCTGGAGGAACCAGGCAGGGTTATTTTGCTCCAAGTGGCACAATTTGCTCCACAACAAAGTGCATGTCTGAGCACATGCGCTGAAGCAAAAAGCCCCAGCTCAAATTAGCACTGTTTGTATTTGAGCTGCTACAAGCACATGTGCTTGCATGTGTGGATGTGCCCATAGGGTTTAATTCAGTGATGCTCAACCATGGTGCTGCAGCACTCTGGGTTACCTTTAAAACCTTTTAAGGATTCTGTGGAATGCCATGCAATGTTAGCACTTAGGGAAATAAATGATGCGGACGATAAATCCAGTTTAAGTAGAAATTCATAGTGTTAAATATCCTGACCTACTCTGGTCTTCCTGAGTTCTTTGCAACAGAAGTGCTCTATTATTTTTCTGTAGTCAAAAAAAAAAAAAAGGGATTGAAACTTCAGGGCTGGCATTTTCTGAGGGATGCCACGAGTCTAAAAAGGTTGAGAACTACTGGCTTAATTACTAGCTAAGAATAGAATACCGTACTGATTTTTAACTTAGCTCTTTAGTATTAAGTGATTAAATGTGTTTAAATAAAGCTTCTAAGGGATGAGCATCAGAGATTTTGGAGGATCATGGAGAGGATCATTATAATTTCAATGAACAGTCAGTCATCCACAAGACCTAATATTGGTTAGAAAAGTGAGCTAAATTCAATTCAGAAATAAGTTAGAAAATCATGGAACAGTTCAGAAGCTTATCTGGGTAACTTGCTGAAGTTTGTTTAAACTAGAGCTTAATTTGGGAGTGTTCAAGTCTTGCAGGTTCTGAATGAAGATCAAGCAAGTTGAAATTAAATTGATAAATTCTATAAGACAACAAATAACTATGCGACAGTCTCACATTCAGTATCCACCAAGGAAGATGGAAAGGGAAGCAAAATGTTTAGTGCATGCAATACATTTCAGTCCTTGAAGCAATTGGTTGGGTCAGCATGTCTGTGGAACATGCAGATCTGAAGGGTCAGGTCACTGTAGGTGATCTGTGCCTTGGACATAAATATTTGGCTTTAATTTTTTTGGTCCTTTATCCTTTCTTATGGTAATCTCCAAAAGGAAAATGAAATTTGAGTTAAACCTGGATTTCTTCAGAGTATCTCTACAAAGTAGCTGGTTACCTGGGATATTTCAGCACAGAAACATGTTGAAGAATGCTAAAATCTGTGTTCATATGTTTATACTGCTGCAGTCTTAAGCAATTATCTTGTGCAGTTATCCCGAGAAGCATCATGATTTTGTGAGCAAGACATTTTGGAGCTGTTTCTTACGCTGGCATTAATAAGTTGCCTGCAGCAAATTGAGCTCTTGACAGAGCCCTTTTGGCATAGTTTTGTGACTTCATTATCTGTTCTTCCAGCCTGAAGAAGCCATAGAAGTGTATGAACAGGCTTTAAAGAAAAACCCCAAAGACGCAGCTTTGGCAAGTAAAATTGGAAAAGCCCTAATCAAAACTCATAATTATTCAACGGTATGTTGTAAGTACTTTAGGAACATGCTGTGTAAGTGGAGCAGTGCCTTATTTAATGCTATTTTTCCCCCTTCTAATATGCAGATTGAACATTTTTGGTATCTTCACAGTAAAATGTTTTTCTCCTCAAATGCTGATTTCTTTTTTCTTTTCCGTGACAGCTAGAGACTAGCTAATGTCTTACAGAAAGCTTGTACAAACATTCTACTTGAGGAAAACCACGTTTATATTCTTTTTCATTGCTAAGTTCATCTTCATAAATATTTGATCTTATTTGCATTTAAGAGTTCACCTGTTCTAGATTGCTTCCTTCATGAAGTTGTGAAACCCTGTTTATCAAAACGTAATCAGAAATAAATGATGGTATCACAGTGCAGGATGGAACTTCATCTTGGAAATAAGCAATGCGTATTGGTGCATTTTATACAAGTTTTCTGTTTATTTTACTACTATCACAAAGTACACAAAAATGCAAGATAAAAGTGTGTGGAATTTGCTTTTTATTTACAAGAATTGCCTGGGTTAAGACAGTAGAACAGATGTTTTCTAAAACATGCTTTGGACATGTTTGTATGCTTTAGTTACCCTGATACAGCTCAATGAATTGATGACTGTGTATTTAGCATTAATTCTTAATAAAATTTTGAGTATTTATCTGTGGAGATCCCACACTAAATGCATGTGCATGTAATGCAGAAGACATGACAGTCTTTGAATAGTACCATTAATGCACTGGTGCCATGCATCTCGTCCTCCTCCCAACTCCTACATCTCAGCAAGGAGCTAAGGAACTGTGCCCTAGTTCCTTTGGCAGTGAGATGGAACAAATAGATTTTTCCTCTTCTTTGTAATTTCTTTACAATTAGGATTTACTAACAACATCCCTCCTTTTTCCTCCCCCTCCCCCACCCTCTGCCCGCCTCTTACCTTTAGGAATGAGAGCAAGTAATCACTGCCCTTTTGTCTTGGAGAGTCATCTATTGGCACATCTCTATTTGCTGCTCATTTTCAATTTGAACAAGAGGGTCAAGGATGTTTCATTAAAGTTGTATTCTTCATCAAACTTTACACCATGAAATATCATATTTGCTTGATTCTAAGACAAGTTCCACCCCCGACATTTAACATGAGGAAGAGGGGAAGACCCTCATCTTAGAATTCAGTACAAGGGCAGTGGAGGGACAGGTGGCCTGTGGATCAGCATCTAGTTCCTACCTGGTGTTACTGCTGCAGCTGCATGTACCCACCCTCCGCCACCTCTCCCAGTAGCGTGTTTTCCCCAGTGCAGCCTCTACTCCCCGACTTTCCCCTTTCCCTCTTCTCACCCTTGCTCTGAACTGGCAGGCTCTATCCACATGGCATGGCTGTTGTGGGGAGCATGGAGCAAAGATTAAGGCAGTGTGGGAAGCAGGGACCAGAGGCTAACAGGAGGGCAGGCACAAACAGAGGGTAAGCAGATTGACCTTCCCACACAGTGCCGTAACAACGAAGTTTGGCGCCTGGGGCAAAACCTGCAGCAGCAGCCAGCCCTTGCCCCACACACAGATCCAGGTGGCACACGCTTGCCTGGGAGTGCATGCAGTGGCAGGAGCTGCCCTTCCCCCATCCCCACGACACCTCTGCCCCTCCCCGCCCCCAAAACGAGCAGCTCGCAGTTTTGGCCTGTGCCCCACCCCAGCTGGGCAGGGCCTGTTGGCGCCCCTTTGCTTTGGTGCCAGGGCAGTTGCTCTGCTTCCCCCACCCCCTTCCTGCAGCACTGTTCCCACCCCACCTTCCCTCCTAGCAGTGGGAGTGAGGGGGATGAATTGAAGATGATCCTCCAGTAACTAGATTCTATACATTATAACAAAATCTATCCATTGTTCATCTATAGAATCTAATTATTGGCAGGTGGGCTTAAATTCAGGGTCATCTTTGATTTGGTTAAATGTGTTACATGCATCAACTTTCAAGGGTAAACAGATTATCTCTAAGTCTTAGGCTAGCCATACCAGTACTAACTGGTGTGCAGTTTTTAAAGTTAATTGAGGCATAAGATCTGTTTTAAGATTGGCAAAATGCAACATTAGCAACTGCTCCCAGGCTTGAACCAAAGACCCGTACCATTCTTTCACCAAGTCCTAATCAAATCTTGGGGCTAAACTTAAATAGATACCTCTTTTCTCAAGGAGAAGCTTAAACTTCTGCTTTCTTTCTGGCAGTGGGGTGCTGAGCCAACTAATGCAGCAGGGCTGGTTATTTGACTAGTCAAAAAATGCTTGTTCATTTGACCTGTTAAATATTGTCAAATATTGATCAAATATTTTAAGCATTAACTTATTAGCACAGTGAAGGGAAGTAACTTTAATATTCAGTAGGTTAGATACTTATGCCAATTACAAAAAAAAATTTTCTTTTATAACTGTCAATGTTGAGTAAGCATAAGTGTGAATTATATTCAAGACAAAACTGTTCTCCTTTTCCTTGTTTTTATTCCAAAACTCCAGGGTCAGCCTAAACAATTATACAATAAATAAAGGAAAATAAATTAATCAGAAATAAAACACACATAACACTATAAAAGACAGAGACCAGTGTTTTAAAATGCAGTTATGCTAAGTAGGCAGCAGGTCAAGTTTTCAAGCATTTTGCTGTTTGTGTTTGGGAATACCTGTAGTCACAGCAGATGGCCAGTAGGAGAAGCTTTTCTATGCTGCTGGTTTTGGTTCTTTCTAGGCCTGTGCGAATAGGGAAAGTATTCCATTCAGATTCGGCTGATTCGGAGGACAATGATTCGATTCGGAGATACGGATCACTGTCCTGAATTGATTTGGCCGAATTGGCTTCAGAAGATCCGGGGCCGATTCAGAAAGATTTGGCGATTTGGACCAGCTGGGGAAAGGCAGGCACAGCTGGGCGGTTGCATGTTCTCCCATGGCTCCTCTGGTGGTGTCTGCCTCCCCCCGGGCAGGAGGGACAGGGAGCTACGGGAGAAGCCCGCATGGCTGCCCTGCCCGGCCCCATCTCCCACCCGGCCCCAGCCTAGTCCTAGCACTTAAAAAAGCCCCGTACTCACTGGTTGCAGCAGCAGTGATCAGGGCCCCTGAGGGCTTGTGGCAGAGCCCCCCCGCACAGTGGGGGGCAGTAGGATTTGCCCCCTCCCCCACCTGGCACCCATGTGGCAGCTGCCCCACGGTGCACATACAGCGTGTCTCAGCAGGGTGCTGCATGCGGCCTGGGAGCTGGGGCCGCTGGGTGGAGCCACCCTAGCTCCCACATGGCATGCAGTGCCCTGCCGAGGTGCGCTGCACCCATGTCATTGGGCAGCTGTCATGCGGGTGCCGGGGTGGGGGGCAATCCCTGCTGCCCCCCATTGCCCCATGCTGCGCAGGGGGGCTCTGCCATGAGCCCTCAGGGGCCCGAATCACTGCTGCCAGAGCCAGTGAGTGCAGGGCTTTTTTAAGTGCTGGGACTAAGCTGGGCTAGCTGGGGGATGCAGCCGAGCAGGGCAGCCATTGGGACTTCTCCTGCAGCTCCTCTGGCTGTGCCTGCCTCTGCCCCAGTGTGGGGAGCCATGGGGTCTATGCCCCACTGCCACTTTCCCAGTCAGTGAAGGGAGGCAGGGTGCAGTGCAGGCACGACTTGCTCTGGGTGGTAGCAGGGCATAGCCCCCACCCCAGCGCTTCCACACCTGCATCCCACATCCCCTCTGCCCCCCTCCCTGAGTAACGCACCCCCCCCAAACCCCAGCCCCAGTCTCTCCTTCCCCCATGCCCCTTCTCTCCCCCAACCCCAACAGACTTACCAGCGGGAGGCAGCTGTGTCAGCTGCCTGTTTAGTCTATGGCTGAATCTCCGAAGCAGCCGAATCTTTTCCAAATCGATTCGGATGCTTCAAATCAGTTCAGAGATTTTAATTGGTCTGATTTGATTTAGATTCCAAGATTCGGTCCCTGAATTGGGCTGAATCTCGGCCAAATTGAATTGGCTACCGAAGCTTCGCATAGTTCTATTTCTTTCCTCAACACTGAGTAGCTTCTGCAGCCCCACAGGACTTAATTGGGAGGGGAAGAGAAAGAAAGTGGGAAGACCTCAGGAGAGAGGAATAGGGCAGAGTGTGCCTGTTCCTGTGTTGTGGGAGGGAGTGGGGAAAGGAGGGGAGAGAGAGTTGACTTTTTTTAAAAAAACTTTGTAAGCCTTTATTATACAAATACTAGAAACAAATGGTGAAAGTACAAAGGCGTGTAGTCCTTCCAGGGGCTAAGCATAAAACATTTGTCAGTGACAAAAAGCAGATTGAAACCCTCTCCCCCATGCCCCTCATGGGATTACACTTGTAGGACTTTCTGTGTGTCTTCTACCTTGCATAGGGCGTTCCCAGGCCGATCTGCCATTGGCCCGCCCACCTGTTTCTGGGCCAACTGCCTGCTTTCTCACCTGCCATGCCTTGATGATATCTAATTAAGTTGTTCATTAGTGGGAGGCTGCCCATTTCTTGCCCCAATGCCAGGGGGCGCTATCTGTGGCTCTGTTCCTCCTCTACACCACAGTCCAAGCCTCGCAGATGGCATCCGCAAATGTTAACTTCACTGGCCCCACACTGGGCCCCAGAATCCTCTAGTCCAGACCCCTACAAGATCCTTCCCCTCAGGTGGCCTATTCTGCACCCATTCTGGGCTGCCTAGCTCCCTGAACTATTTCCTCACCGCAGCCAACAGTGCCCTGCCACAGGACTCCTTGATGGCTTAGCATGGCACAAACTGGTCCACATTGTGTGAGAGAGAGAGAGAATCCTGACTCCTTGGCAGCTGCCAACTTTAGCACTGAAAATGACAATAGAAATCTTGAAGGCAGGGCAGATTGGTATCTTGTAGATTAAGTAAATTTTAGCTGCATAAGCGTTTGTCTATGTAGGGACTGCAGGATGCAGGGCTTCTAAATAGAAAGCAGTTATTAGAATACAAAGAGTAGGGAAGGAGGAGAAAAATGGAGAGAGCACTGTTGGTAGATACAAGAAAAAAGCAATCAACCCACTGAGGAACATAGAAGTATTAGCATTACTAATGGACTCAGTGTCAAAGTCTGTTACTGTGTCTGTCTGCAGAGTTGTCCTTGACACCGATGGCACTCATGATCAACTTGGGTTGGAATCTCAGAGCCTATTTGCAAGTAGTCGTGTTGGAGATCAGTGGGTGCATCTACACATGCATTTACTGCGCGGTAACTTATTGCTAAGTTACTGTGAAGTAAAGGTTTTTAGGCCAGCGTTTACACATGCAGCTGTGAAAGCACAGTAATGCTGTGTGTGGTTTAGTCCCAAGTCAGTCCACAGAGTGTTCCTGCACAGTAAGGCATCTACATGTGCGTTATTGCACAGTAACTAATTGGGCATAAATTTGATACCTGCATCAAGTCAGCATAAGTTGCCATAGTTTACATGTGCAGTAACCTAAATTATTATGCAGTAATGTGCATATCTAGATGTGCCCGCTATGGCATATCTATCTCCCAATGGATAACTTCAACTTTTGCCCCGCTGTTCAGCTGGATCAGGGAGGGTCTTGCTTTAAATTAGGGATATGCACTTCAGAGGCCTGACTCATTTGTCTCTGGCAGCCCTATTTTAAATTATGCCTAACTGACCAACCACATATGTTGGTCAGTGGAAGCTTGGACAAAAAACTTGGGAGGAGTATAAGAATATTGCTTGGGCATGGAGGGATGAAATTAGGAAGGCCAAAGTGCAATTGGAGTTGCAGCTAGCAAGGGACATGAAGTGTAACAAGAAGGTTTTCTACAAGCATGTTAGCAACAAGAGGAATGTCAGGGAAAGTGTGGGTCCCTTACTGAATGGGGGGGAGCCAGCTTAGTGACAGATGATGAGGAAAAGCCTGAAGTATTCAATGCTTTTTTTACCTTGGTCTTCACAGGTAAGGGCAGCTCTAAGACTACTGCACCTGGCAGCACAGTTTGGGAAGGAGATCAGCAGCCCTCAGTGGTGAAAGAACAGATTAGAGGCTATTTAGAAAAGCTGGAGATGTACAGGTTCATGGAGCCAGATGAAATGCATCTGAAGATGCTGAGGGAGCTGGCTGATGTGATTGCAGAGCCACTGGCCATTATCTTTGAAAACTCATGGCAATCGAGGGAGGTCCCAAATGACTGGAAAAAGGGAAAATATAGTGCCCATCTTTAAGGAAGGGAAGGAAAAGGATCCAGGGAACTACCAGCAGTCAGCCTCCTAGCAGTCAGCCTCACCTCAGTCTCTGGAAAAATCATGGAGCAGGTCCTCGAGGAATCCATTCCTAAGCACTTGGAGCAGGTGATTAGGAACAGTCAGCATGGATTCACTAAGGGCAAGTTATGCCTGACCAACCTGATTGCCTTCTATGATGAGATGACTGGCTCTGTGGATGTGAGGGAAAGCAGTGGATGTGCTATACCTTGACTTTAGCAAGGCTTTTGATACTGTCTCCCACAGCATTCTTGCAAGCAAGCTGAGGAGGTATGGGTTGGATGAATGGACTGTAAGGTAGATAGAAAGCCAGCTGGAGTGATGAGCTCAGTAGATAGTAATCAATGGGTCAATGTCTAGCTGGCAGCCGGTATCAAGTGGAGTGTTCCAGGGGTTAGTCCTGGGGCCAGTTTTGATCAATATCTTCATCAACTATCTGGAAGAAGGGGTGGATTGCATGCTTAGCAAGTTCATGGATGACACCAAGCTGGCGGGTGTAGAAGACACACTGGAGGGTAGGGCTAGAATTCAGGGTGACCTAGACAAATTGAAGGATTGGGTCAAAAGAAATCTCAAGAGGTTCAACAAGGATAAGTACAAAGTCCTGCACTTCATATGGAACAATCATATGCACCACTACAGTCTAGGAGCTGACTGGCTAAGCAGCAGCTCTGCAGACCTCCTCCCCCCCACCGGCACCCGTGTCAGCAATATGCCCTTGTTGCTAGGCTGGTTAACAGCATACTGGGCTGCGTTAGTAGGAACGTTGCCAGAAGATCAAAGGAAGTAATTATTCCATTCTTCTGCACTGGTGAGGCCACATCTGGAGTACTGTGTCCAGTTTTGGGCCCCCCACTTTAGAAAGGATGTGGACAAGTTGGAGAAAGTCCAGTGAAGAGCAGTAAAAATGGTTTGGGGGCTGATGCATATGACTTATGAAGAGAAGCTGAGGGAACTGGGTTTACTTAGTTTGGAGAAGAGAAGACTGAGGGGGGATTTGATAGCAGTCTTCAACTACTTGAAGGGTGGCTCCAAAGAGGATGGAGCCGCAGTACCCAAACTCTGACAGATTTCACACCACCAATTTAAAATGATACAACCTTAAGTACCACCACCAAACTTTTGTCATATAAAGTAATTATAATAAATCTGTTAGCGCGTACCACTGACAGGTTGTCTGCAAATCATTGGTGGTACCTATACCACAGATTGGGAACTGCTGAGCTAGACTGTTCTCAGTGGTGACAGATCACAGTCAAGGGGCGACTGTCTCAAGTTGCAGCGAGGGAGGTTATGGTGGATATTAGGGAAAACTTTCTCACTAGGAGAGTGGTGGAGCACTGGAACAGGTTACCTAGAGAGGTGGTACAATCTCCATCTGTGAAGGTTTTTAGGACCTGGCTTGACAAAACCCTGGATGGAATTATGTAGGTGGGGCTGGACCTGCTTTGAGCAAGGGGTTGGACTAGATCACCTCCTGAGATCCCTTCCAACCCTAATTTTCTATGATATGTTAACATATGGTTAACATACAACCCATAGGTCCTAGCAGACACCTTTCTGGTTATTGCATAGCAGGGAAGAATCCAGGGGTCCTTGTGCCACTGACACTGCCTATGTGATGGGTTAGAGGGCTACGTGACAGGGAAGGTGACTGTGTGCCACCAGCGCAGTCCATGCAGGGGCTACCCCTGTAGCATGCATCCTGCGCTGTGGGTGGTCCTTGCTGCACCAAAGAGACAGCCCTTGCTTTAAAAATTATTTGATGTACTCTATTTTCCTGTTCTTTCTAGAATAGTGTCACTAGTTAGCAAGAATTCTGTGGCAGGTAACAGCAACTTTATTTCCTTATACTAAAAATGCAGGAAAAGATACCAGGTTTTCTAAAGAGGGTTGAGTGATTCCACCCTGCCCTACTCATTAGTCATTTCTAGTTCATAAAAAAACCCCAAACCAACCAGTCTAAGAAATGTACCAAATAACAAAGACCTAAAGAAACTAGCTCACTCTAGGGGTAAGGCTGATTCATGAATGTCTTCAGCTTCAGATAATGAATTGTCAAGTCTTGTTTGCAAAGTAAAGTTATCTGATCTGGGATAACTCTCCATCCTCCTTTCAGGCCAGATTGCGTCAGGACTCTAGAGCAGTGTTTTCTAACCAGTGTGTTGTGGCACAAAAGTTAACCATCAGAAATGAAGAGATGTGCTGCAAATTTTGCCATGGCAGTGAGATACAATTAGCTACAATAGGTATGAGAATGGGGAATGCCTTAACAGGTGTGTCGCAGAAAATTTTTATTAATGTAAGTGCTTTGGGCTGGAAAAGGTTGGGAAGCACTCCTCTAGAGGAGTTAAAAGCCATTAGTTATGAGAAACAGCTGAAGGCAAGTCACTGTTATAGACAGCTATAGGTGCCCCTCTATACATGCAGGTAAAGGGGCAGTGGAATCTAATGTGTGATCCCACAATCATGCCTCCTGCCATGCACATGTGATCATGCATTAGTTCCCATTGCACTTTACAGCCAGTGCAGAGGGAGCCTGGGATCCCCCTGCACCAGCTTCTATGGCTGCAAGCCCCACAGTTTACAAGGCTGGCAATAGTGGAAGCATTCTCCCTCCTGCCCCTGCGTTGAGGCCCACACCTGATGAGGCATGGGGGGGGCAGGGAAGGGGCACCTTTCTCCCCACTGCAAGCCCCAGAGCTAAGGAAGCTTGCAGGGGAGACAGCAGGGAGAACTCTGCCACTGCTGCAAGCTTCCTCAGCTGCAGGGCTGGCAGTGAGTGATGCAACCCTGTGCCTTGGAGCCGTTGAGTTGATGGGGCTCCCAGCCAGAGGAGAGCACCTGACCACACGTTCAATTTATAGCTTGATAAGAACAAGCCACAAAATCATTACCTGCTTTTTGTAGAATAACTTTGTAGTTTATTTCTTGTTTTATCATGCCATTAATTGGTTGAATGTATAGCTGAGTCACAACTTAAGGTATGATTAACTGGTCAATCGTGTCTTTAGTGTAACATCCAGATAGACAGCAACTAGATCTGTGGTCCCCATGATAGCAATGTGAAGAGTATTGCAGTTATGGAATTCTGGTATTTCATTTATGTGCAGGGAAAGAATACAGGTAAGAACTCTTTTCTTTTGAGGGTCTAGATTTAAGTTTACTTTCCCTAAAAAGTTTCAGAACCAAACTACAATCATTATGTCTTATGCATGGCTTAGAACAGAGATGTCCAACTGAAGGTCCATGGGCCATGTGTTAACATACAGCCAGCACATAGCCCATGAGCCCCAGTGGGCACCTCTCTTGCTGTCATGCGGCAGAGATGAGTCCAAGGGTCTGTGTGCCACCAGCTCAGATTTGTAAGTCTTTCACACACCAAGGACATGCTAGGCAGAACGCACAAGAGAAATTAAATCAAAGGAATTCTGATTTTTTTGTAATTTTTATTTGTGATTTTAAAAGATTAAGCAGGAGATTTAGATTTAAAAAAAATTGTTTTGCGATGGCTTCAATGAATTAAATACTTGTGAGTTTCAGGCAATTGGTTATTATGAAGCTGCATTGAAGAGTGGTCAGCAGAATTTCCTGTGTTATGATCTGGCTGAGCTGTTGATGAAATTGAGGCAATATGAAAAGGCAGAAAAAGTACTTCAGCAAGCTTTAGATCATGAACCAGGTATGTATTAGTTACTTGATTTACAATAAAACAGAAATTATTCTTTGTGTTTGTGATTGTTACGAATAAACAAGTGTAGCATAGGCATTAAATTTGACATTTTAACCATTAGTTTACGTACTGTATAATGAAAAAGATGCAATAGGATATAAAATAAATGTAACTTTTATTTAAAGATACCTTACAAAAAAATTCTAAATTTGGGATTTTAACTAAGCAATATAATTGTTTGAACTTTTTCTTCTTTACTCAAAATGTGCAGAGAGGACCTGAAAAGTGTTTTGTTAACATTCAGTGCTTTTTGTCTAAGAAAGAGCATTTAGCAGTGAACTTTGGACTTTTTCCTGGTTAGAAAACCATTAGGAGGATATTTTTATTGTGTACCCGTTAACAAAAAATTATTTCATTTAAAATATTAATTGACCATTGAATTTATAGAAGAACAAACTGAGTTTTAAAGTCTGTTTCTCTTAACTTGTTTTCATGCTTTCAACTTTTTAATGTCACTGTTGTACTAATTAACCAGTTTTCCAACCTATACCAAGTCTGCATATTTAATGAAAAAATAATCAGGAAAAGACTTACCCATGGTCTGTACTATGTTGGAATCTGTTTTCTTTATTAGTTTATATATTATCTGACTCTTGGGTTAGTGAGAGCTTCACTAACCCAAGAATCAGTTTGGCTTGCACATCCTTAAGCTTTCTTACCTCATTATTTAAGAGGCAAAAAAGCACAAGCCAAACTTATTTCTCTCTTGTAGTTCTTAAAATTTTTCTCATGTCTTCTATGAATCCTTAAATGAGGATTCTACAAACTCATTGAGAGAGATGTGGAACAGTTGCGCATAAATTATAACTGTACACTATATATTGTTCGTCAAAATAAAAATGAAACCCCCACAGAAAGTATTGTATGGAGTAATCCTAAATTGGCTAAGAGGAAGGCTAGATTTCATAATAAATTTCTTCCAACTCTGTTAGAATGTTTTCTACACAATAATAAATAATATGTCCTTCAAGACGACCTGCTTATTGAGTGTTGCTCATTGTATTTTAAATATTTTAAAAGTGCATTTTGATATATATCTATTAGGGTCATCTATATCACAGACTGGATGAGTATCCCGGAGCTGGTCAGCAGGCCACACTGGGACTGGCTCCTTATGGAGCAGCTGTGGAATGGGCTAGGCCCCTGGACACAATGCCTGTGGCGTGCAGGCAGCCCAAGGGTGTTGGGTCAGGGTGTTGCATGCAGACCCCTCTGTGCCATGTGCAAAGCAATTGTAGTTTGTGCTGGCCCTAAGAGCCACATGCACAGTAAATCCCAGGGCATGATGTGCACAGCTGGTCCAGCCACACATGTTACATGTAGCCTGGTGTGCACACTCCATGTGGTGCCCTGCCAACTGGCTCCAGGTCTGGCAGGCACGGCATGGAGCAGATGCTCCATGGTGGCCTTCCATGCCATGTGCAGTGCACATGGCCAGTCAAGCCCATAGGGTAAGAGCCAGCACATGGACTCAGTCCTGCAACCCAAAGGCCAGATATGGCTCACATGATCCCTGTCTTTAACACACAGCTCTATATTTTGATTTCAAAGTAATAATCCTGTTTGAGTGAATAGAGTCTACATCTACTGTGTTTTAAAGCTGCCATTCTCTGTCAGTTTGTAAACAGATAAACATTATAGCAAATAGTTTATATTCCTCAAAGCCGTTTCTTTAAAGGTTTAACACAACCACTAAGTGAAGCTTAACTTCCAGCTTTTTGTCTAGTCCTTGAAACATGTTAAAATAACCAAAGTTATACTTCCTTTACTGTCTGCATGAGAGTCCTGTCAAAGCAAGGCAGTTCTTGAAGATTAACCAATACTTAAGGCACATCATGATCTCCAAGATCTCCCTGCTCCCACTGAAACCTACCAGGCAGTTTATGTTGGGCACAGACAGAAGTGACAATTTTCACCGGATCTGGCCCCACACAGTGGTCTATAGCTGTGACCAAACATAAGTGCACAGCTGCAGAATGCTTCACAAGTGGCCAGTTGGGCGAAAATCTAAACCCTCATTGCATTATGGTTCAGATGAAGATGTTTCAAAACATAGCATCTTCTGTAACTTGTCTGCCTGCCTGCCTCCCAGCCTGGTGCTGCTTTCAGAATGGGTGGGGGAAAGGGAGTGGAGGGAGTTAGATCTGGAGTTTTTTTTAGCCCCTGTTGGAGTGTGTATTGGAGTCTTCCTACCTTGCAGGAGCTCCAGTACTTCCATCCCATCCTCCAGCGTTGGTTGGGAACCCCTAGATCGAGCTCCCTCTTCTCTCTTTCCCCCCCTCTCCCATTCTGAAAACAGTGCCAGCTTGGAGGGGTCAGGGGCTGTTGCTAGGGGAAACTGGCTGCAGGCTTGATGCCAGTGCCTAAGTTCCCCTCCCTCCTGGAACCAACAGTGAACTTCTGTTTGGTCCAGGGGATCATTACAACTCCAGAGCACTTGCTGCAAAGTGTTTTCAGTTACAGCGAGGAGCTGCGCTTATGCCTGTAGCCATTGATGTCAGTAGAGGCAGTTTTAAAAGCTTAATTTGTAGTTCATAGAAAGCATGCCACAAATACCTTTGTCTGTCTCATTCATTGGAAATATAATTTTTTGTTTTTGAGGAAAAACCTACAAAGACTGCTCATTTATTCATTCCTAGTTGTGTATTTTTCTTGTTGTTTGTTTGTTTACTGATCTTCAAATTCTTGCTGGATTAATTTTTAACCTTCTCCAGAGTTTAATTGTTTTATTTGTTGTACTGTTTGGACTTGATAGGAACAAAATACAGTCCTAACCTTTCAAACTTGAGCTGCTACACAACTCCTTTCTGTTGAAATACAAATATTCAATCCACTTTTCTTAGACTTTTGCCTGGAAGATGTATACAACTTCATTCTTTTGTTATCTTGCCCACAAGATGTTCTCAAACCACCCAATGCAGACAGTTCCAACTATAATCATGTTTCTGTTTCATACTACTCTTACAGTAAATGAATTATCTTCTCTAATGGAAGATTGCCGTTACCATGTTCTCCTAGCAAAAATTTACAGCAAAATGGAGAAGACTAATGAAGCTATTGTTTCATTACAACAGGTAAAACTAAAAGAACTGAATTCCTAAATTTTTCCCTAATATTCTGTAGAAATAAGAATGGCTGAAGTGTATTTAAGAAATAGAAAATAAACCTAAAGTGGGATTGCCCAGAACACGGGTTAAGGGCCCAGTAGTGGTCGAATGTTAATTGCTTTGTTAGATTTATTAGGTGACCTGTTTAGTGTTTTTGTTTGTTTGTTAGATTTATTGGGTTATATGAATTTGGGATGTAAAGTCCAAGTCCTACTTGACATCACATCATAAAATCTGAGATCATTTCATTAGAGCAGTTGAAAACTGAATGAGTAGAGAAACTACTAGTTTACACAGGCATTTCCCTCTAGTTCAGGGCTTCTGCATATTTGCAGAGCAGTGTGAGGCAGCTTCTGATGGCAGTGCTTTGCACTTTGCTGTGTACAAAGGACCTTAAGTTCATTTTGTTGTTAAAAGGCAGCATTAACAATAAGAAACCATGAGCTGGATTATCACCCAGAATGGGGTTTACAGAGAGTCCTGTAATGGAGACTGAAGTAGGAGCGAAATTGCAGCTAAAGCAGGGGCAGGCAATTATTTCAGGCAGTGGGCAACTTACTGAGTTTTGGCAAACCATCGAGGGCTGCATGACAGGCAGCCGGGGCAGATAAATATTAATTTTCTAAATTTTTAGGGGCCCCGCGGGCCGGATAGAATGGTCTGGTGGGCTGTATTTGGCCCCTGGGCCACATTTTGTCCACCCCTGAGCTAAAGCAACAGGCTGGTACAGCGGAGGTGGTATGCAGCTGAAATCCCCATCTGGTCCAAAAATTGATTATCTACTCGTTTGTCATTCTCATTTGAACGAGAGTGTTGATCTCACAGGACTTACTCTACCATACACAGACCATATGGCTGGGACAGATGTGTAGGCATATGTGGTTTGTGGTGCCACAAGATGCACACCTTGCTCCTTAAACCATATACCATGCTGCTAATTTGCAGTGCTGGGGCAAAAAAGCCTTAAGAAAAAAAGCAGCGCAAAGCACACAAAAGTGCTGTGTGCTGGGACAAACGCAGAGACGGGGGAGCAGGCAGCCCTAGACTGCCTGCTCCCCCATCTCCATGCACTGCAAAGCCCCCACACTGAGGCACCCTGTGCCCCAGCCAGCTGGAGAGTGGCACGTGGAGATGGGGAAGTAGGCAGCCCAGGGCTGCCTGCTCCCCTGTCTCCATGTGCTGCTCCCCAGCTGGTTGAGGCACCCTGTGCCCCAGCCAACCCCCTCTACAGCACATGGAGCTGCGGGACAATGTGTCTCTCTGCAAACCACATGAACAGGGGCATGCACTCCAGCATAACATAGCAGCACAAATCTGTGCTGCTACTATTTGTGCTGTTGCAAATGTATACTCCTGCTCATTTGGGCGTAGCCTGGGTGTTCTACTTTCATTTGTTACACTTATAATATTTCTGTTCTCAGGTATCTTTGATATAGTATGAGGAACTTCTAGATTTGTTGTTTAGTCATGTTACATGGGAGTTCAGTTTTTGCGTTTCGGCCAGAGTTTAAAATTTCATGTAGAAAAATAATGAACCTTTTTGCAATTTTGTTGACTTAGGTCAGTCTTACAGAGAGAGAAGTGGGATGGCACTTTTGTGGTCTTCCTGAAGGACTGCTTGTCAGTATGTAATGAAAACATTTTTAATTGAAATTTGAATTTGAATGAAAACATTGATTGAATCTGCTGTTAGATAAAAGCACCAAAAAGCTCCACTCAAGTGCCCGATCTATACTTTGACCTGGCTCTGCAGCATCTGTAATGTGCTGCTGCTTCTAATAAAATGTGGAGTTTTTAAGGTTTAAGTGTCTGCAAGCAGCCCTTTTTTCTTATTATGTAGGATCCCTTTGCCCTTCTTCCCCAAGTTTGAGCTAATTGTCATCACTTTCTTGTGGCTTGTAGAGTGCTCCAGGTGCCATCTGGTTTTACAGGTGGCCAGATCTTGAACAATTTAGGTGAAAATGCATGGAACAAAGAAAGCATTTGTAGATCAGTGACACTGGTTATTACTACATTCAAAATTGTCTGCAACTCTTTACCAATAATAGCTCTGGGAAGCTTATATACCCTATAAGTAATTTGTCTTCAAGTGTATTAACAACAAAGCTCCCTGAACAAGGTCCTGACTTAACTTTGCTTGCTAAATACCTGCCCAAATAAGGTTTTGTAGTATTTTTAGGAGATGCCAGGTCTGGTAGGCTACAAAGGTTGTCATTTCAAACATACCTGCTTTCACACTTGACTTGTTGTTTAAAAAAAAATCTAGCTGGATCATATAGATCCATTTATAAAGAATTTCATTTCACTTTGGTGGAGAAATGGATTTTTCAAGAAACCAGCATGGTTCTGTATTCAGCATTCTTTTCCTGGTATTTAGATCAGGAAGGTAGGACAGGGTTTGAGACGAACTGGGCAGCACCTGACTAAGTAAGTGGTGTCTTATAAAAGCTCATGCTGCTCTCAACCAATTAGTCTGAAATCAGGCAGAAGGTAGAGCAGGGTGACAATAACACTATGATTTGTAGATGTTAAACTGGGACTAGTGCATACAATAAAATTATTTTAAGCTATTTATGAAACTGTGTATAAAATGCCAGGGGGAGTTATCTTAGGAAAAGACAAAGGCTTTTACTATTTTCTGTGTGCAAATAGGTTAATTCTTATGTGTTTAAAAAGAGGGGAATAACCCAAACATCTGACTGCATCTTCTTTAGCAATAAGAACTTTATGTGGAGTTCCCCTCCCAATCTGGGAAGCATCTTCAAGATGTTCTATGACTGCTGCATCTCTTGTGTATTTTTTTGTGTTTTTGCATAATTACATTAACAAAATGTATTTTATTATATTGGTTGTATAGAAGGTGTATAGCATGCTAATTTTCTCCCATCTCTTTTCCTTTATTCTTTTTTTATTTTAACTCTCACTAGGCTCGGGAGATACAAGCCAGAGTACTCAAACGAGTTCAGATAGAGCAAGTGGATGCAGTTCCTACACAGAAGCAGCTGGCAGCTGAAATTTGTGCAGAGATTGCAAAACTTTCTACAGCCCAACGAAACTATGAGAAAGCAATTAAATTTTACAGAGAAGCTCTTGTTCATTGTGAAACAGATAACAAGGTCAGTCCTATTATAAATAACTGTTATGTTGTCTTTCATTGTACATGCCTTGCTATCTAATCCAAAACATTTACTTGTTAATTACAAAGTGAAATGTGTGTGTGTACCTTTTTTTATTGCTGCTTCACACTGGATTTTTTTTATGCTTGTTTCTGGGCTGGGCTTGTCTTTACAGCAGTATGAGATAGGGGATACCTCAAGTGTTGCCTGTAAACCAACTTCTGGCCACATGTACATTTTCTGTATCAAGTTAAATGATGCTTGAAATTTATGTTAGTTGGCCATTTTGGTGGGTATGGTATTGAGGTTGAAGTGCATCTCATGCTTGAACTAGTATTGAAATGGTGGAGCAGCTGCAGGGTGTAGTTCTAGTTAATTCAGCTCATCAATTCCTCATTATCAATCCAGCCACTTTGTAGCTTAAAGTGTTGTTTCCCTGAGTGGCTGCTTTCACTTGAATCTAGGTTAGTTCAAGTGAAGTGACTTGAATTACTGTTGCAAGCCCTGATAAATATCAAGTCTTTACCTTTCTTCCCTCTCCATACCCCCTGGCCCCAGCAGACTGGGTACTAATGGAATAATGATGCCAGATACAGAGATGATGATTACCAAATTAATTACTATAGTTTTACTGAAATTAAAAATTGTTTAAAAAAAAAAGTTGGACTCCATGGACACCTATACACATGTTGGACATCTGCTCCGACGTGTGCTAATTAGCACATTGGAGCAGACCCGATTAATTAATTAATTGAGTTAATTAAGCAAGTCTGCTGGATTTAAGCAAGTGTGCTAATTACCATGCCCCAGCAGGTGTCAATACTCTGAAAATGTCAGTGTATTGACTTGAAGTAGTTCTCAAAGTCTGTGAATGCTTCCTTTCAATCAGACTCAGTCCATAAAGACTGTCATGGAATATGACTACAATCTACTATATACATGAGCTATTGGAACTCTGCCCCCTGCTCTCTATGTGGCAAGGCAGTACATCTCTGGAATTAATAAAAATCCATCCATATCAGCCTAGCAACACTTCACTCATCAGGGGCCCAGAGTTATTTTCATCTGTTTGTAAGCATCACAAACAAGAAGGGATATAGGGATGGTGCAAGTCAAGGCTTATGTGGAGACACTTTCATATTTTTGTGCTCAGATCATTTGGTATGTGCACTTGCACCTGTGTCATTTAGGTTGAGACTCCAGCAAAGCCAAATGGAACAAAGCAGATCTTATACCAGTAGCTCCCCAGTGGCCATGGCTACTTTGGTTTGCAGTTTCCTGAGATGTTCATCAGTTCAGTCACACGCACAGCTCTCCAGCCAGACTTCCTGATGCAAGATGGATACAAGTTGTATCATCCTTATCTGTCTCTGTATCTTGCAGCCTGATGTTTAGATAGTCCGTTTTAGCTCTGACAAACTTAATTTTGTTCAGTGTAAGTTCCATCCTTCCTATCACGCAGTAGAAAAGAATCTACAAAAAAGATCGTTTTTTTTCAAATGGAAAAGATTTCAGCCATGGTGATATCGATGGCATGTTTCTTCTCTGCACTCAGCAGTGTCAGTTGTAGTGGACCGTATATTGTCACTAAAATTTGAAAGTCTCTTTCTCTCTCTCATAGTTAGTACCTGTAAGTGTCTTCTACCTTGCAGTTGATGATTCCATAGTATTCTTATATATTCACAACAAGACTCCTCAAAGAATGTAAGGATCTCTTTATATCTGAATTACCTATGGTTTTTTTGTGTGTGTATAATGACGTTTCTGAATGAGCCATTATGCAATTGTCTTTTACTCTGTTTTTCCTTTAAGTCAGGGGTAGGCAACATTTTTTGGCCGGAGTGCCAAAAAAACCACAGTGTCTATCTTGGAAGGTGCTGGAGTGCCGATATGCCAGAGCCCGGAGCAGCTGTTTGCAGCCTCCCGGCTGCAGCTGGCCCACAGAGCCCAGTCTGCTCCCAGCAGGGCTTGCAGCCTCCCAACCACCTGCTTGGGAGCAGCCTGGGCTCCGTGCCTGGCAGCAGCTGCTTAAAGCTTGGGCTGGTGGTGGTGTGCTGAGCAAAATGGCCTTGCGTGCCATTCCCTGCTTTAAGTTATCTAATGACTATAAGTTCTGCTAGGAGGGCAGGGGAGTTGAACTCATGATCCACTCATACTATTTTTCATAATGACAATCAAAGCATGCAAAGTTTTACCAGTGTTGTTCTGAAATTTCACATTAAACAAATTGTGGGTAGTGCTGTACTATGGGACAGATAATGCCTGGAAAAGATATCAGAAGAATCCCATGTTGCTGCACACATGAAAATACTGGAAAAAATGTTGGAGGTAGCAGAGGTGTCAAATATGCAGCCTAAGTCTTAGATCCAACCCTTGGAGCCCCATAATCCATCCCCCCCAGTTCTGCCCTTTTGATCCACAAGCCCTGTGCATAGTGCTGGGGACATGCACTACCCACAGTGCTTCCTCAGACCTAGTCTTGGGCTGTGCTGTGCACGGTGCTCACTGGGGCCTGGTCTTGGGATGCACTGTATATGGTGCTCATTCATGCCTGGTCCTGGGCTGCTCTGCATGTAGCACCCACTCAGGCTAGCATCCCTGACTGTCCCAGGTAGGTGCTGAGTATACTGGATCAGTCATACAGACGGAGTGGAGGGTAGGGGTCTGTGGGCCTGACCCCATGGAGAATGGCCCATGCTTATCCAGCCTGCAGAACCACATGAGTTTGCCACCCCTGTCTTAAAGGAATGAGTTCTGACACTAGAATCATAGAAAATTAAGGTTGGAAGGAACCTCAGGAGTCCATTTAGTCCAACCCCCTGCTCAAAGTAGGACTACCCCCAACTAGATTATCCTAACCAAGGCTTTGTGTAGCTGGGTCTTAAAAACCTCCAAGGATGAAGATTCCAAAAATTCTCTGGGTAACCTGTTCCAGTGTTTTACTACTCTCCTAGTGAGAGAGTTTTTCCTAATATCTAACCTAAACTTGCCTTGTGGCAACTGAGACCATTGTGCCTTGTTCTGCCCTCTGCCACCACTGAGAACAATCTAACTGCATCCTCTTTGGAACCATCCTTCAGGTAGTTGAAGGCTGCTATTAAATCCTCTCTGTTGTCTTTTTCTCCAGACTATATAAGCCAGTTCCCTCAGCCTCTAGTTCAAGTCTGAGATGCACTTGAGCCTCAATACCATACTCACCAAAATGGTCAACTAACATTAATTTAAAGCATCATTTAACTTGATATAGAAAATGTACATGTGGCCAACAGTTGGTTTGCAGGCAACACTTGAGATGTCTTTACAGCAGTATGAGATAAAGGATAAGCCCAGCCCAGAAATGAGCATAAAAAAAATCCAGTGCGAAGTCATGTTCCCCAGCCCCCTAACCATTTTCATTGCCCTCTGCTGGACTCTCTCCAATTTGTCCACATCCTTTCTGAGGTGGGGGGCCCAAAACTGAATACAGCATTCCAGATGTGCTTCACCAGTGCTGAATAGAGGGGAATAATCACTTCCTTTGATCTGCTGGCAGTGCTTCTACCAATGCCATCCAATATGCTGTTAGCCTTCTTTGCAGTAAGGGTACACTGTTGGGTCATATTCAGCTTACTATCCACTATAAACTCCAGGTCCTTTTCTGCAGAACTGCTGCTTAGCTAGTCGGTTCCCAGCCGGTACCAGTGCATAGGATTGTTCCGTCCTAAGTGCAGGACTTTGCACTTTTCATTACTGAACTTCATGAGATTTCTTTTGGTCTCATAGATTTCTTTTGAGTTAGTATTAGAAAAAAATTGTAGGAACTGATGCATCCTGAGATCCATTTTGATTGTCCTTTTTCCTTCAAAAGATGAAAATCCAGACTGGAACTGAAATGATTGTGAGGTGCAATCATGAGTCTCCTTTTTTCCTAACATTTTAATGTAACCGGTTTTGTAAGTTGGAAGTAACATAGCAAAAGGAACTCCAAATATGGCATTTTTGAAGTTTGAAAACTCAAATGATTGAATTTTTGGCAAAATTCCCTTTGGCTTCGGCAGGAATAGCTTTGGACTTATGGTACCTTTTTCCCTTTGTTAATTTTCTGTGGCTGTTGTACATGATGATGGAACCTCAGCCTTAATGAGAATTCTGCTTTTGTAACTGTCTGTTACTAGTCATATCATTATTGTTCCTGATGATGAAAATGTAAATAAAAATAATAGAATTATAGGATTGGAAGGGACCTCACGAGTCTAATCTAACTGCTCAGTTAAAAATCTTGCATCAAGTTGCTTGTACTTGATATTAATCAAAGTATGGTAAAAAAAAAATGCTTCTGGTGGTGACAAGATTTGAAAAAACTTGCATGTATTTTTTTCACGTATTTTTTTTTGAGAGAATTCCACCCGAGATGCTTGAAACCGGCATCATAGTATATGAGTGTTACACAATCATTAATATACCTATCTGCACAACACCCTATGACAGATTAACAGTGTTGGGGTTTTTTTTTTCTTTTTCCCAATTGAGACATAGGGAGAGACTAAGTGACTTGGCAAAGGTCACACGGCAAGTCTGTAATGGGGGGAAAAAAGTTAAACCCAGGACATCTGACTTCAGGCTGCTACCCTAACCATGATCCATCATTCCTATCTGAATTGCATAAAGATAAATGTTTTTTTTTCATTCTCCAGGTCATGTTGGAACTTGCACGTTTGTACCTAGCACAAGATGATACAGATGCCTGCCAACATCAGTGTGCATTGTTGCTTAAAAACGACCAAGATAATGAAGCAGCAACAATGGTTAGTGAGTTGTAATAATGTAATCTACTATATCAAGAGAGCTACAATACTAAAAGTGTTTTATATGTGCTGTCTAAGATGAGATGGTTAAGATGATCCATGTTACAAAAACGTGGTTACTGTCAGTTTAGTAAAATATAACATGAAAAATATCACAAGTGTTTGCTTGTATTCACATCAGATCATTATTTAGTACAGGCAGTCCTCGACTTACAATGTTTCAAGTTACAACGTTTCACACTTACAACATGTATAAATTGACATCCTGTTTCAACTTTATGATGTCAGTTTCGACTTTCAACGCTTGATCCGATCCGATGCCACGCCAGCAAACAAGTTCACTGTGTCGCTCATTTCCCTGGAGAACATCTGTCCAAGCTTCCTTGGACACTTTTTCTTTAAGAAAGCAGACAAGACTCCTGAGAAGACTTCAGCCAAGAACCCTCAAAAAATCCAACCAAGAGCCTTTCAAAAAGTCCAGCAAATACACCTCAAAGAAGTCCTTCCAAATCAATATGATTGCTATTTACAATATAAATACATTATTGTAGCTATATTATTCATCTGTAATTGATTGAGTACAAAATTCTGGGGTATTTTTGGTGAAAATAGGGTATCGGGCCTTGGTTCATGAACCAATCCCCCATTTATAACACTGTTTCTTATGAGAAAATTGGTTCTGAGTTGCAACATTTCAACTTCAGACGTGGTTTTCAGGAACCAATTGTGTCATAAGTCCGAGGACTACCTGTATAATTTATAACTGTTAACAAGTTTAGCCTTTCTATCCCAAAACAAAAATCTTGCTACAAAAACTTGAGGAACAGAAATGGAGAGGGATTGTATGAAGAACAATATTCAGAATATGGTTTAATTCACATTGTACTAACAGTTCACTGTAAGAAACTAATGTTATCCTTTTAAAACACATTTTTTTATTGCTACACTTCTTGTCTATGGATGATGTAACTCAGACTGGCCATCATATGGAGAGAGCCTCCTTTTAAGGTGGAACCAAAGTTAATCAGTGGTTTCTTAACTGCACAGTTATTCCTGGGGCCTACCCTGGAGTCACTAAGATTTCACTTTTTTTCTTAAGTATATAATTTTATAGTACTGTGTAGGTATATCTGAGATTTTAAGAATTTGTTCTTACTGTTGATACTTTTTAAAAAAAGATAATTGGATTTCACTTCTTGGATTCTCTGATTTTAGCTTTTGTCTTAGATTTATTTGAGGAGTTTTATAAAACAACCATTTTTGACCATATTTTGTAACTTGGGGGTTTTGTTTCTTTTTTTTTTCTTCTTTGAATGTTTTGATCTTACAGATGATGGCTGACCTCATGTTCAGGAAGCAGAACTATGAAGAAGCTGTATTTCATTTTCAGCAGCTCTTGGAATGCAAGCCAGGTAAAAAAAAATCTGTAATGATGTCTCCAATCCTTCCTGATCTAAATTTGCATGGACATTATGGGAATAAATCGTTACAACATGTTTCAGTGATGTTTCTCTGAATAGTGATGTGCTGAATAGAAACAGCAAGTCTTTGTGCGTGTATGTGCATGCACAAAATAGCTACGGTACATTTAATACAGAAAAATATGAACAAAAAATTATCAAAATGAAATACCATATTTTCTCTCACAACCTCTCCAAAACAGAGTGCACATTCTTTTTGGGAAGGTGAAATGAAGGAAAAACTTTTCCTTGAAATTATAAAACGTACGCAGAATAAGTCATAAAATGCATCCCTCACTGCAGTATTGTGGCGTCTCTCTCCAGTAGAAGCCATCCTACTGTAGCCACCAGTAAAACACCAGCAGCTCTGAGGGGGTGAGGGAACCAGTTGCTGCCCCATTAGCCATGTAGCCGCTGCTTACTCAGTAGCAAGCTGTTTGACAGCAACAGG